AAAAGCAGCAGTTACGGTTCCTCATTTCCCCCCTCCAGCACAAATTGTTGAGCAATGAGATTTTTAAAAGCCAGAAATTACTGTGGAGTGAACCAACACTGGCATCTGGAGAACTGGCACCAGCCACACCTGGCCTGCCAGGGTTTGGAGGAAGACTTGCTGAGTGGGTGACTACTTGGACCACAGCCTGGCTCCTGCGGGCCACCATGGGGACATGTTTAAATACAAGATGGAGGGAGAACAAATGGAAAAAATCAACGTCCAAGTTAGAAACTACCTAAGCTGTGCTGTTTTTCTTGGGGCCCTACTGTGCCTTTGATTTCCTGATCGTTCAGAGCAAGAATAACAAAATCCAACCAACCCAGTGATTTTCACAGATTCATCTGAAAAGCTACCAGTTGGGTATGATCTGTCCATACCAGTGATTCTCAGCTGGGGGGCCCCTTTATCCCCAGGAGGCATGTGTCATTTCTAGAAACATTTTCAGTTATCATAACTAGGAGGAGGAGCTCCTGGCATCTGCAGGAAGAGGGCAGGGATGCCGCTAAGCACCCCAAAATGCACAGGATGGGCCCCTCATCCCCAAAAAAGAATCATATGGTGCCAATGTCAATAGTGGCAAGATTGAGAACCCCTAACCTACGTGTACTCAATCTGAATTCCCTCGGTGGGGTAGCTGGTGTGCCGTTATGTATAAAGTTTTTGGAACCTGGAGACATGAAGTTCAGGCATGCCTGGCTCAGGTACCTGAATTATGTAAGCAGCTGAAGGATTAACTGGGTTCTGTCTCCTTTTACTAAAGCAAAAGGATCTCATCATCTTGTGATGCAGCCAGTGGTGAAAAGAACTTTGGAAAGAAGTGTTTAGTGGAAAATAGTGCCCAGGGTAGAGCTGGGAGCTGCAGCGGCAGGCTGAATGGCATCCTCGCCCTCTCTGGCAGCTGTGTTTGAGTTGAGGGCAGGTGGACCCTGGAGCAGGCTGCCCCCCTCTCGTCAGCCCCACTGGGCACTCTTGGCTTCTCTGCTATTGAATGTGTCTGACTTGCTGTGGTGAAAGGTCACCGAGGAGCTGGGCAGCAAGACTCCTCAAGAGCCAGCCACGGCTCTACACTCAGTGATTTTATTGGCATGACGGGAAGCTTGGGCCTGCCAAAGACAACAGCACCGTGCTGTGACTGAGACTGCAGGTTCCTGGGGCATGTGTCCTACCGCTCTTGACTGTCCCATTCCCACTGGGTGCAACGGCCTGGAGGAGGTGGATGAGAGCAGGCAGGCACCTGCTTTCCCCATCCTGTGTTCCCTAGGTCAGCACCCAGCAGAGGTGCATTTTCACAGCTGTCCCCCTTGTCACCCTTTCCTGTTCACATTTTCCTGCCCTTTCCAAAGAACCAGCATGGCTGCTGTAGTCTATTTTCATGCTGATGATCAACTCTGTGGCCAAGGACAGCTGTGTGACCTCTTGCTTTCAGACGGTCAGGGAAAGCAGCCCCTGGATGAATGTCCCTTTCGATGGCTGCATCTGCAACTCTTCAAGCTGTAGAGACACCCTCCCTTGACCCTCCTTCAGGCCCCTGCCAGCTCTTCTCAAAACAGTTTGCTTAGAAATTTGGGGGCCGGGCGCGGTGGCTCAAGCCTGTAATCCCAGCACTTTGGGAGGCCGAGGCGGGTGGATCACGAGGTCAAGAGATCGAGACCATCCTGGTCAACATGGTGAAACCCCGTCTCTACTAAAAATACAAAAAATTAGCTGGGCATCGTGGCGCGTGCCTGTAATCCCAGCTACTCAGGAGGCTGAGGCAGGAGAATTGCCTGAACCCAGGAGGTGGAGGTTGCGGTGAGCCGAGATCGCGCCATTGCACTCCAGCCTGGGTAACATGAGTGAAACTCCGTCTCAAAAAAAAAAAAAAGAAATTTGGGGGCTGGGAAGAAAAGACTGTGATTGAAGAGCTCCTCGAGGTGACTTGGACTCTGCCTCTCACCTACAAATGGAGCAGAGCATGCACTGTGGGGCCGAGCAGGCCCTCCTTGCCCCAGGGTTCTCAGCTGCCACTCCCTGAACAGGAGCTCAGTGCCAGGCAGCAAGCAGAGTGCTCCTCCTGCGCGCGCTCTTGTAATCTTCACAATCATCCCAGATGGCGGAGGGGATTTTGTGAGCCCATTTCACAGGAGAGAAAGTCAAGGCTGAGCGAGCAGATGGCCGTGCTTACCCAAGGCCAGGCAGGTTGATACATTGTTCTGGGCTTCCCAGTGAAGGTGTTCTAACTCCAGGGCCGGAATTCTTAGCCCTTCATAATGTGACTGTGCTTGGGGGTGAGCCCCCAGCTGGGCATACTTCAACTGCGGTCACTGTCATTTTCCATGGTGCCTGGGCCCTGTGATGGCACACTCTAGTCAGCTGGCATTTGTACGGTTTTGTCTACCCTCCTCCCCATCCCCATGAAGAGCCACTAGGAAGTACCTTAGTCCTGGAGAAGGCACTGCCTCCTCTACCAGGGGTTCCCGAAGCCCCTTGGCTCCCTTTGTCAGGCCTGCTGGGCACAACCCGAGCCTGGGGTCACTGCGGCTCCCTAACTTCTCCCCCAGTCCTGCTATAGGACGCAGCCCCGACCCCGCACAGGTCAGGATTCCGTGGACAAGACCAACCCCAGCAACCTTGGTCTGAGTGGCCTGGGCTTGTCCCGCACCACGGGGGTCTCAGTGGGCCTGGAATCCTCCTGCATCTTCTTGGAGGCCCCAGACCTACTGGGACCCGCACAAGGAGCCGCTCTGGGTACCCACGGGCCGGGCCAGACTGGTGCAGTGCACAATGTGCGGTGACAAGACTCCCTCCCGCAGGGCCCAGGAAGCTCCTGGAGGCGCGCAGGTGCCGGCCAGGTGAGGTTGCAGAAGGGCTTGCAGGGCGCAGCATACCAGCCCCCTGCACCGGCGCAGGGCCGCAGTCTCCATGGGTCCTTGGCGGACATCAGACGGCGAGCTCCCTCCCTTCCGACCTCAGCCAGTTTGCCGGGTGGGGGAGGGTGGCACCTACCTCCCAGAAGCACCAGGACGCAGGCGGAGGGGAGCATGGCTGTGGGTATCCCGTCAGGGCTGGCCAGACAGCCCGCCAGGCGCCGTCAAGGTGCGAAAGGGGAGGCGCTGGCGCGGGGCTCTCGGACCGCAGCGGGCGCCGGCGGCCAGGCTAGGGTCCTGCGAAGAAGTTGCAAGGGTCCTGCGTCCCCCTCGGCGCTCACACACCCTCAGCCTCCCGGGCTGTTGATAGTTGTAAGCGGAGCTGCGCACTCATAGGTCCAACTCGCCAGAAGAGGTGGAGACAGTCCCTGGCGAGGCGCGCACTCTTGCGCAGCGGGCACAGCCCCCTGGCGCAGCGCCTCCTGCCATTCAGACCCCCAGCCATCCCCCACATGTCTGTTCTCTGGCTGCCGCCTTCTCCAAAGTCTTTGCAGTGGGCACGGAGGCCTCCCCCAAACTCTGGTCCCAGCTAACCCAGAGCGATGCGCTCCTTGCGCTAGAGCGCACCCCTAGCCAGGCCATTTCCTAGAAGGGCAAGGCAGATGGGGAGTTCCTCTAAGCCCCACGAGTCCTGGGACCCCTGAAGTTTCTATTCAGGTCTTCCAGATACTCCTGGAAAAGTCGCGTCAACTTGGATCCCAGCAAGCGCAGAAGCGCAGTGGAAGTGGCTAACCCAGTCGCCTAGAAGCCAGCGCCGGCCGCTGTCTGTAAATGAGGTCGTCACCCGCTCCCCACCGAACCAAAACGCATCCAGGCAAAGTGTGGAGCCGACCAGGCGGGTTTTTCCCCTCCTCCCAACTCCTCCTCCTGCCCCCCTCCTCCCCAAATCTCATCTGAGTGAGTCAGCTGAGGGTGCAGCTCAGAGGCGAGGCAGCGGTGAGGCGGAGGACAGCCTGGGGTACCCCAACGGGTCCGCTCCCTCCTCCTCCCCAGGCACTGGGCCTCTTTGGTGACACCCTGGGTGGCAGGCAAGCCTGGAAATCAAGTGCACGGGGCCTGGAAAGGAGGACCGGGAGAGTTATGGGACTTATGAAGGAAGAAGAGAAAGAGAATCACTTGGATGGGAAAAGTTAACTGGATTGTTCCCACCTGCATGGATCATCCGGGTAACTTCAGTGGGACCAAGGGGCGAGGCTGCGCTCTAGGGGTGTGCGGGCTTCCTTGGATTGCCGAGAACAGAGAGAGGGAGAGGAAGAAGCTGGAAAGCAAGAGGAAAAGGGAAAGGAAAGAAAGTAAGAGGGGAGAGAAGGGAAAAGAGAGGAGAAAGAGAGACAAAGAACAGAGAACTAAGAGAGGGAGAAAAAGAGAAAGAAATGAGAGGGAGAAAAGGGTACACAGGCAGAGAAAGAAAGGTAAGGGAAGAGAGAGAGAAGGAAGGAGTGAAATCAACAGAAGAGAAAAGAGAACCAGGAAGGGGGAGAGAGAGAGAGGGAGAGAGGGAGAGAGGGAGAGAGAGAGCAAGAGAGCGCTGTGGTCTCCTTGGGCCAGGCCCGTTTCAGGGGCAGATAAGCGAGCACTCCACCTGCCCCTCTGAAGGGTTTTATAGACTCATCTGTCCCAGTTTTATGGTCTGATCATCCCACAGGGGACCAGGGGACACCACCTCACCTTTTGATGTCTTACCAGAAACTTGGGTGAGGCTCCCAGGAGCCACAAGGCCCTTCAATCCAGCCAAGGACCCCTGACACAAGCTCCCCGGCCGTCCTTAGGTTTCCTCCTCTCCAGAGGCCTCAGGGAATAGGGAAAAGTCCCAAGCAAGGCCACAGCATGATCTTATGCAAATGGAAATGTGAGGAAAATGATCAATTGTCTTCCTGAAAATGACTTTTTTTTTTCTTTCTGGTTTCTATGAGACTCGAGGTTGCCTCGCTGAAACTGAAATCGGTACAATCTTTCCCGGGAAGACAATGGCTACAAGCCGCACATTAAGTTCTCATGAAAGGCATACCTTTTGTGTGCAAGAGAAGCATTGTGCAGGGTGATTATTTATAATTGCATAATTGTGATTATTTGTGGCAATTATGTGTCTTTCAATATACAAAATTTACAAGTATGGGTAGTTTAAAAACTACATGCTAAGGCGGGGCACCATGGCGCACGCCTGTAATCCCAACATGTTGGGAGGCCGAGGCGGGCAGATTATCTGAGGTCAGGAGTTCAAGAGCAGCCTGGCCAACATGATGAAACCCTGCTTCTACTAAAAATACAAAAATTAGTGGGGTGTGATGGTGGGTATCTGTAATCCCAGTTACTCTGGAGGCTGAGGCAGGAGAATCACTTGAACCTAGGAGGTAGAGGTTGCAGTGAGCCGAGATCACGCCACTGCACTTCAAAAAAAAAAAAAAAGAGCAAAACTCTGTCTCAAAAAAAAAAAAAAAAAAAATTAAAACTACATGCTATTCTGGCCATGACCATTTGAGACTTCAGTCTGGGCTTTCTGAATGTGGGTATTTCAAAGTCTCAGGTGGCTGATGGGGGTTCAAGCACTAGTGGTTTCTCATGGGGAGGATGGGTGTTACCTGGATGTCTTAGGTAGGGTCATAGTTCAGTATTTTCAGAACGTATTGCGCTGCTATTAGAGGTAGGAGCTTTTTCACAAAGCATGGTGCTTGTGTATTCATAGGTGTTTTGGCTTATTTATAACTGAGAGGATTTACTGATAGTTATTGAGACTGCGGCATGGGCCAGGCCCTCGGCGGGTTGAGTACTTTATATCTGAACAAACCGACAAGAAGTAGGGATTATGGTCAGGCCATTTTACAAACTGGGGAAACTGAGTTCAGAGAGTTTGGGCCACTGTCCTGTGGCCAGTCAGCTGGAAGGTGGCAGGACTCCTGGACCCTGCCTCTGACCACGTGCTGTGTCTCCAGGGCATGTCCTGTCTCACTGGGCTGTTTGCTCCGTTCAAGGCCTGTTTTCCAATAATAGCCCCTCTTCAAAGAGGCGTATGAATAATGGGAGAAACAGGACTCCAAAGTACTTTTTCTAACCAGCCTGGGCAACATGGCAAAACCCCATCTCTACAAAAAATATAAAAATTCGCCAGGTGTAGTGGCACATGCCTGTCATCTCAGTTTCTAGGGAGGCTGAGGTGGGAGGATCTCTTGAGCCTGGGAGGTCAAGGCTGCAGTGAGCTGTGATTGTGCCACTGAACTCCAGCCTGGGTGACAGAGTAAGACTTTGTCTCAAAAAAAAAAAAAGATGCTTTTTCTAGATCCTAGCTAAACCCCAAGTGTTGAGGCTGAGAGTTACAGGTGGGCCCCGTGCAGGGTGCATCCTCACTCTCGCTGTGTGGTGACATTTGGGAGGACATGGGTGGCTGGAAAGGGCACTGGAGGCTGCCGGGTCCAGCGCTCCTCACTTTCCAGGTGAGGAAACAGGCGCAGTGCAAGTGAGCTGACCCTGTCGAGGTAACAGAGATTTTACCCCACAAATAGACAAAAAGCAAAGAAAATGGACAAATAGTGTTTGAACAAGGCTCTCCTCAACTTGCAAGTAGATCAGACAAGAGCAGAAGAAGGAACCAAAGCTAAAACTCATTTATTCTCTTCAAACATATATTGATTTTTAATCAAAAAAGAAAAAAGTTATGTTGTCCAGATCTTGCATTTTGTTCAAGGAAGGGTGATACACACTTGGTTCCTGACTTCTCTCTTACAAAACAATGGCTTGAGAACTTCTGAAATGGTAGCAGTCCTAAGGCTGTTTTGGGGAGTTGTCCCAGCTCTGTGTTGGCCGTAAGTCGCGTCTGTGGGCATTATCGCATCTTGGCCTCCGTAGCTGGGCTTTTCTGGGCTGTTAACTGCAGGGGCCCTCCCTAGGTGGTCAGAGCTGTGGAGGGTGAAGTTTTGGGAGGATTCAAGGGGTCTTGCTGGGTGTGAGGGAAGCGGCCTTGAATCAGATGTCCATGAGTGGGAGCCAGGCTTCTTGCTCCATGTCTATCTCCCACACCACCCCTTCCCCCAAAATCAAAGTCCGGGGGAATGAGGAGTAAAGCATTCCAGAGCAGCGCCTCTCTTCCTTCCCCCTCCCCCCCAAATGCCTACCTCTTCATCCTTGTCCCTGTTAAAAACACCACGGGATGATAAGATCACCCCACACAATCTTGCTATAAAACGGTCTGTTTCCTCTGCTTGTTATCGGGGTATCAGATCAAAGAAACGGTGCCCAGACGTGGTTATCTAATAACCAGATAAACATCAGGCGGCCTCCTGGGCCAAGAAAGGGGTGGGGGGGCAGCTCTGAATGAGGCAGGGGACAGGCCCGGGTGTGCTGGGCCCCTCTTGGTGACCATTTCTGCCTCCAGAGTGAGCATGCTGGCTCAGCCCAGAGTCGACCAGATCCTCACAACAACCTGCATGTTACAGATGGAGAAACTGAGGCAGGGAAACCACGTCCCTGTCCTTTGGAAGTGCCTGGTGCGCCCCTGAGCCTGGCACATGCCTCACTACACATTTGCTGAGTGAATGAATGAGAGAACAAATGAACTATCACAGAATAAGCACTGGGTTTATCAGAAGACCTGACTGCAAATCTTAATGCTAGCACATAGCCACTCATCACGGCTGGCGCCAGGGAGGCGAACTGGTGCCCCGGGCTCACCTCGTAACTGCACGCACTCTTGAGCAGACACAGGTGCAGATAGCCCCTCCAGGTGAATGTCTTCTCAGTTTGAGCCCTGGGTGCCTCCCCCAGTCCCAGCCCTGCAATTCCCTCTGCATCTGTTTCTTCTTCTATGAAATAGGATGAAGCTGTGCCAGCCAGTAGGAATTAGAAGATCAGGTCTCAGAAGTGAGCATTGGGTGCAGGATCCAGTCTTCTCAGGCGCTGAGATCCATGGAGAGAAGTTGAAGCTCACACCGCTGGTATGTGCTGGACCCAGAATGGAAACCTGGTCTGGGCTCGAAAGTCTGCCTCCTCAGCCTGAACCTAAACTACTTAGGTCCTCCAGGGAAGGCAGGTTGTGGCAACATCTTGGGCTGTCTGGGGACTCCCCAACCAGTCCTCAAATCTGTATAGTTCTTCTTGCTTCATCTGGCTAGTGTTTGTATGATGGGGGCTGGGGGAGGATGGCATTGGAGGGCTCAACCTAGCACCTGGCACATAAGCATTCAGTGAACGTGTTTTGAACGAATGTATGAATTGGGTAGATGAATGGATGGGTGGGTGGGTGAGTGAGTGGGTGGATGGATGGATGGGTTGGTGAGTAAGTGGGTAGATGTGTGAGTGGGTGAGTGGATGGGTGGATGGGCTAATGGGTGGATGGGTGGGTGAGTAAATGGATAGATGGATGAATGAGTGCGTTGATGGGTGGATGGGTGTGTGAGTGGGTAAGTAAATGGGTGAGTGGGTGGGTGGGTGGATAGGTGGGTGGGTTAATGAGTGAGTGAATGGATAGGTGGATGAGGGAGTGGGTGGGTGGGTGGATGGTAGGGTGGGTGGATGAATAGATGAATGGGTGAGTGGATGGACAGGTGACGGACGGGTAAGTAGGGGCTAATGAGTGGATGGGTGAGTGAGTGGGTGGGTGGATGGTTGGGTTGGTGGGTGGATAGGTGAGTGGGTGGACAGGTGATGGATGGGTAGGTGGGGGGACTAATGAGTGGGTGGTTTTGTGAGTGGGTGAGTGTATGGGCGGGTACGTGGATGATGAGCACTGCAGTTGCCACAATTGTTGCGCACACTGAATGGTTTGTTAATTTACTAGTAACAATTCTTTAATGTGTTAACCAAGCTGTGGAGATACATCTTAAGGGGTGCACTTCCACAAAGATGGGGCCTCATGTTCTTGTGAACAGCCTCAGCACCAGCATGAAAGGCAAGTGCTGTTGAGTGAAGAGCAAATGCTTGCTCTTATGTTGCCAGCCTTGTTTGCCTGGGAGGTTTGGGAATTTGCTTTTGTTAAATCTCTGGGTCCCCAGCCCAGCTCAAACCTCTCACTGATGCCAGGGCCACTCATGGCAGGCTGTGGAATGGTGGCCGAGCAGCTGGGTCTGGCAGTAATAGCCTCTCAATACAGCACCCAGGGAGGTGGTGGAAGTGACCATTTGAAGCTGTGTAGACCCACCGGGCTTGCAGACAGTGTGTAGAAAGAATGGGCTGGCTTTGTTCATTTTACTTGGGAAGCAAGAAAATTCAGCCCAAGCGAGGGCTTCTGTTGATGAAGGATGGAGGAGAGGCTGCCCACTCATGGTAGAAGGAAGCCTGCAGGTGTCTAACGGGGCTTGGGTCTGGGTGCCACCGCTCACGAGGTACATGACTTTGAGCCTTTGGGCACAGCCTTCTGAGCCTTGTGTTGCTCATCTGCAAAGGGAGAATCCTCAGGTTTTGGGAGAATGTAACGAGGTGACACAAGTAAAGCCCTCAGTGTGGGGCCTGGTGGGCTGCAGGTCCTTGGAAAGAGGGCAAATGTCACCATTATTTCAGAGGGGACTGGTTAGGTTTGTGGATGAGTGGCTCACATCACCCAAGACCCCATGTTGGGCTCAGCACTGCAGGGTGTTGGAGCTGGGAGGCCTCTGCAGGCCAGGTCCACTCATTTTCAGATGGCCTCTTGGGAGCCACCTAGAGAGGAGAGGACAGGGAAGGGAGGCAGAGAGGCCAGTCTCTGAGCCTCCTCCTCTCCAGTGTCATCTCAGGGTCATCATAGTGCTCTTCATGGGGTGGGAAGTGGTGGCCCCGAGTGTCTATCAAACGTGAAGACTGCAAAGAGGGATCCATGGCGGTCAGAGCAATGAGATACGCAATGATATAGAGAAAGCTAGAAAGCACACTGTCTCCTGAGCAGAAGCACGTTCATGTACACCCAGAACACAAACCTGCATGCAAGTGTTGCATGCTTTTCACATGTGTGTGTATCTAAGGCAGTCCATCACACATACTCCAGGGGATGTCTTTTAGGAGGAGGAAGGAAGGAAATGGGTGTGGAGATGGGAGGGGCAAAGGGAAAAATTTATACAACAAGAAAATAAGACAACTGAGGGTCCCAACATAGACCAAGGTTGTTGGCATGCCATGAACTCAGTAATGTCAAATGCAAACTTCTGTGTCTGGGGTCTAAAAAGTCTGATAAGCAAAAGAGACTATGGAGAGACTGAGGCACAGCAAGGGGCAAGGGGATGGCCAAATGGTGGTTGGGTGTCACCCAGACACTCAGGTCTCTCTGGTCGTGGAACTGACAGTCTGGAGTTACATAGCTCCACCACTGTAGAAGAGCATGGTTCGGGCTCCATTCTCTGATGTCTGCTAATGTGTGCAGAAGAACTGCTTGGAGCAGGGTCTCACCTTTCCATACCCATTGCCCACCTCTACCCACCACTCATCTACCAGCTGAGTTGCAAGAAAAGGCAAAGCTATTGTGATAGAGGAGTCCTTGTTTTGAGAGGCTTTTGTCAAAGAGGGAGAAAGAAAAGTTCGGGGACGTGTGGCTTCAAATCATGCCGGTTATAAAGTTTCTTGTTAGCCCCCATTATAAAAATCAATATACACCATGGAATACTATGCAGCCATAAAAAAGGATGAGTTCATGTCCTTTGTAGGGACATGGATAAAGCTAGAAAACATCATTCTCAGCAAACTGACACAAAAACAGAAAACCAAACAACTGCATGTTCTCACTCATAAGTGGGTCTTGAACAATGAGAACACATGGACACAGGGAGAGGAACATCACACGCCAGGGCCTGTTGGGGGGTGGGGGTCTGGGGGAGGGATAGCAGCGGGTAGGGGGATAGGGGAGGGACAGCATTAGGAGAAATATCTAATGTAGATGATGGGGTGATGGATGCAGCAAACCACAATGGCACGTGTATACCTATGTAACAAACCTGCATGTTCTGCACATGTACCCCAGAACTTAATTAAAAACAAATCAATGTATGTTTTTCATATAGGATTTTAAAAGCACGAAGTTTATCATTTCTTTCCTATTGTAAAATTAAGTGTTCCTAATATACTATTTGGAAAAAACAAAATGGAAAGAAGAAAAATGAAAGCCATGCATAGTCCTTCAACCCAGGGACAACCCCTGCTAACGCTCGGATGGATGAATTTTACATCTACATGTATATATTCTGATCTACGGTCAAATTTAATAATGTGAATGCCTTAATAAACCATTCACTCCTTAATTTCATCTTTTAGATCAATTTCCTAGTCTTTAAGGAACTGTTAGATGCAAGGCTATGGATGGTGGGGGAGGGACATGAAAAAAGAGACTTTAATTTTTGGCCAAAATATCCTGCATGTTGGATTTGCCTTTGTTTTGTTTTGCTTTGAGCCTTCCGCCTTGTTAGGCAGCTGTTTGTAAACTTTCTGCTGCTCTGGATTTCAGTCTGGAAGCAGCACATTGATTTTAAACAGAAATACCTTAAAGGAGGTGGTGTTTGGGCGGGTTGCAATCCCCCACCATCAGCTTGCAAGTGGTTCCATTCCGCTGGCACGTTATGTCAATAAGAGGCCTGGTCCATCACGCAGGGAGCAGGTTAGCTAAATTCAGGGTGAACAGATGGCACTTTCTGTTTCTCTTCTGGCTGTCTTCCTAGTTTGGGGGTCTTGGGGAATCGGAAAAGCAAAATTTAGGGGCAGGGATCTTACAAGTGCTCACAGCACAACCCAAGCCTAAGACCTTACTTATTTTTTCCTTCTTTCCCTCTTCTTTTTTTTTCAGTTTACAATTAACACTCACCATTTAGTCTCCACCCCTCCTTCTTGAAATGGAATTTTTATCTCTTGATTCATGCTACAAAATAAAATCCCTGTTTATTCAGTTGCATGAATAATTGATAAGCTTTTTCCAACTTGCCAGAAGCAACTTAGCCGTCTCGCCTTGCGGCCTGGAACCCCTGGCAATTTCCGGAGCATTGGCAAGAGACCTTTGCACAGTTTCTGCATGGAGTCCACTGACTCTCTGTCTCAGAGGTGGGGGTGTATCTCTTGATTCTGACTCGTTAGTTACAGACTAGGCACTGAAGGCTCCAGCACCAGGGATGTGTGGGGCTGGGGGAGGGAGGGGCATGTCAGCGTCCCCTTAGATTTTCTGAACTCATGTCTGTGACAGGTGCGGACCTGGATTCCACTGGGAGCGGCGCTCCCCGCCCCCCGCCCCCTGCCCCGGGCTTTAGAGTTCACAGCATTAATTAACTCTAATCTGTTCCCTGATAGTTTAAAGCAGGCCCAGGATGTGAAGGCATTTTCTTTCCTGCATAGTTAATGGACTTAATGAGATAACAGTGAGAATCTGTGTTTAGGCTCTGTCGGGCATTTGGCTCTCTGGCCATGTTTATATGATAAAAGGCAGTGGGCTGTTATTTATGCACTTAGCTGGGGTTTATTCTTTTTAAACAGGCCTAGACAGCTACTTGTTGTATTTGGCTCATGCTAGCTTAAAAGGGGACTTTATAGACCTTACTGCAGAATGTCCCAATTCTTCAAGGCCAAGGTAAATGCGAGTTGGGGTGTAGTAAAGTTGCAAACTGCCCTTAAGAAAAACGGTTAATAAGACAGTGTTCCTTCCACCTCTGCCCTCCCCTTGGTTATCCCACCCCAAAAGCTTTCCCACCGGGCTTCAGGGTGACAAACGCTTGGATTTGATGAAGCTGAGATTTTCTTGTGCTTTTGTTGACAGCAGGGCAGTTTTATTGAAACTTGCTGAAAGAAGCTAGCTTCGAAGGTTCTGCCAAGACTCTGCATCCCAGGGGAAGCAGGGCTTTGACTTAAGATACTCACATCTGTCAACCACAGGCGTTCATTCACTTTTCTCTTTCATTTGGGGAAGGTAGGGAGAAAATGAATCAGAGGCTGATTTTTTTTTTTTTGGTCTGTTTTCCCCAAGCTCCAGGAAATTAAGAAACAGGCCATTAGTTTTAGCAAACAATTTAAACAGAGTAAAACCGGATCCCCCACCAAAGGCCAAGGACCATGAGGGGTCTGAGTGCGCCTGGCCCTGCTTGTGGACTCTGCGGGTCGTGGAGGAGCCATGAGATGGTAAGAGAGCTGTGGGTGATACAGGATGATGTGTGTGACAGTCCTCCCTGTGTCTTTTTTTGCTACCATAGTTATCATAGCTTAGATGTGTGTGGCCTGGTGGCTCCAGAGAAGGGTGAACAGCAAGGGTTTTTGGGGTGCCATGGCCCAGGCCTTAGCCTGAGCATTGTGGGAAGCCAGTGGGTGGCTACATGCATTGGCGCGGACCAGTGGGCATTTCCTTGGAAGCCAGTCCCTGAGATGGCTCTGGGCGGCCACTCCTGCATCTCACCTAAATCCACAGGGTTCAGCTGTATCTCCAGGGTTTATTGAAAAGGAGAGTGTATGGCGGATTTCAGTATTCGTATTCTATAAAGACTTTATAAGGGGTGGGGGACAGGAACAAAGAAACCAGTGCTGGTGATCCTGCCCCCACAGTAATGTCTGCTCCAGTCTGGATCTGGGACAGGTGCCAGGCCCTGTTCTCCCTGGGGGAATGCAGGTCCAAGGACCTCGGCTGTGTGGGTGGCTCGCCGCCATGCGTGTGATTTTGATGTTTGTACGTTTGTTCTACCACATGAACCAGTCTTGAATGGCTGTTCTGAGTAAATGGGATGATGTGGGTGAAGCCCAAAGACCAGAGCTTGGCACAGGGCCATGCTGGATAATGCTGACTCGTGGTGATGAGGGGAAGGAGGAGGCAGGATCCCATGAGTCAGGAGCCCAGGCTCCAGTGCAGCTGAACTGCTGTCCACCAGTGTGATCTCAGCAAGCCTCTCTCCATCTGGACACAGATGGTTCATCCATTAAACATCCCAGGTGCATTGAAGGGAGGTGAACTGTGTCCAGCATGGTCTTCAGTTGTGGGAGGCTGATACCCTACAACTTTCTGTCTCCTGGGGTTTTTACTTATTACAAGGTAAAATACAGTCTTATTACAGAAAACTAGAAATGAGAAAAGCCTGTCACACAGTCACTCATTCAACAAATGCCTATTGGGAGGGGTGGGAGATGAGCCCCTGGTGGGAACAGGGTGAAGCCGTGGACTTTCTCTGGGTGTGATGAGAGCAGCTGGAGGGCTTTGAGGATCCCCAAAATTCAAAACTCAGTTGTGGGCAGCTATACCAGGAGAGGCAGAACCTCTGAAGGTTTCTGACTCCAAAAGCCAGCGAAAATGCAGATTTCATGAGAAGGGGTGAAGCTTAGGGCCCTGCCAGGCAGTGATGCTTTCTCAACTTTGGGGGCAGTAAAATGCACAGACCCCAGGGAAGGAGGCCAGAAAGGAGGCTGCAAAGTGTGCATGCTCTGGGAAGGGGGCAGGGAAACGCAGCAAAAACCTGCTGGGGACCCTGCCAGGCTGCCTCCCTTGGAGGCCCAGCTTGAGGGTTGGTGTTTCCCACCAGAGATGGCAGAGATGATGATTTCAGGCTCTGTGTAGATAAGGAATGAACTATCATTGAATTTTTTCTTGGTTGTATTGTTACAGAAATTCTCTGTTGGGTGCTGGTGTACTTCAACACCACTTAACACTTGTCAAGCTCTCCTTTACTAAGGTAAAGCAGTCCTGACCCAGAGCTTTTGATCAGGGAGCACTATCTAGCCAAAATTTTATTTTGATGCTTTGTTTTCATTGCCTTTAAAACAAAAGATGGTTATCTTCCATTTGCCATGAAAGATACTGCTTCCCATTTCTGTCTTTTACCCACTTTTCATTAAGGTATAATTTGCATGCAGTAAAGTCTAGTCTTTTTAGTGTACAGTTCTGTGAATTTCGATAAATGTATCTGGTGTGTAACCATTATATCAAGATACAGAAGGGTTCTTTCACCCTTAATTCCTTTCTTGCGGATGACAACCTCTCTTCACCCTCAGTCCTTTGCAACTAATAATCTGTTTTGTTTTTTGGTTTTTTGTTGTTGTTTTTTTTTTTTACTATAGTTTTGTCTTTTTCAGCATGTCCCATAAACAGAATCTTATAGCACCTGGCCTTTTGAGCCTGGCTTCTTTCACTTAGCAGAATGCATCTGATATCCATTCGCACTGTGCCTGTATCAGTAGTTGATTCATTTTTAATAATGAGTGGTGTTCAGTTGTAGGGCTACACTACAATTCATTGAGGGACATTAGGGTTGTTTCCAGATTTGGCAGTTACAAATAAAGCCCCTATAAACATTCATGTACAGGTTTTTCATGAGCATGGGCTTTCATTTCTCTTAGGTAAGCACTGATAAGTAGAATCACTGTGTTGTCTAATACATGCATGTTTAACTTTGTAAGAAACTGCCAAGCTGTTTATCAGAGCAGCCATGCTATTTTGCATTCCTGCCAGCAATGTATGAGAGTTCCAGTTGCTCCATATCCTCATCAGCACTTGATATTGTCAGACTTTTTTGGTTTTTGTTTGTCTAATGTCTAATGGGTGAGTACTAGTATCTCATTGTGGTTTTAATTTGTATTTTCCTGATGACTAATGATGTTTAACACCCTTTTATGGGTTTATTTGAAATTCCTGTATTTTGTTTGATGAAGATTTCAAAGCTTTTGCCTATTTTAAAATTTAAATTGTGTTCTTATTATTAAACTTATTATTGAGTATTCTTTACATATTCTGGATACAAGTTCTTTACTATATATGCTATTAGCAAATTGTTCTTGTAGCTTTCTTATTAATTTTCTTAATGATGTATTTCAGAGATTGTATTAATTAGTCTGTTCTCATGCTACTAGTAAAGACATACCTGAGACTGGGTAACTTAATTGACTCATAGTTCAGCATGGCTGGGGAAGCCTCAGAAAATGTACAATCATGGAGGAAGGGAAAGCAAACATGTCTTTCTTCACATGGCAGCAGGAAGGAGAAGTGCTGAGCGAAAGGGGTAAAAGCTCCTTAGAAAACCATCAGATCTTGTGAAAACTCACTATCCTAAGAACAGCAGCATGAGGGTAACTGCCCCTGTAATTCAATTACCTCCCACCAGGTACCTCCCATGACATGTGGGGATTTTGGGAACTACAATTCAAGATGAGATGTGAGTGGAAACACAGCAAGCCATATCAGAAATCATAGGTTGTTAATTTTGATCAAGTATAATTTATCAATTTTTTCTTTCATGGATTATATTTTTGGGGCTATATCTAAGAAATGTATGCTTAATCTAGGGGTCACAAAGATTTTCTTCAATGTTTTCTCCTGAAGGTTTCATAGTTTAAAGTTTTACATTGAAGTCTATGATCTATTTTGAGCTAATTTTTGGATATAGTATGAGATATGAATAGAGGTTCATTAAAAAAATAAATATCCAATTATTCCAACACCATTGGTTGAGAAGACTACTTTTGTTTCCTACTTAATTGCTTTTGCAACTGTGTCCTAATCAACTGACCCTCTCTGTAGAGGCCTGTATCTGGACTTTATAGTCTGTTATATTGGTCTATATCTCTGCCCTTTCTCTAATTCCATATTCTCTTGAATACCTTACCTTTGTACTAAATCACGTAGGGTGACTCTGTTCTTTAAAATATATTCTTCTGGTCAGCTGTGGTGGCTTACATCTGTAATCCCAGCACTCTGGGAGGCCAAGATGGAAGTACTGGTTGAGACCAGGAGTTCATGACCAACCTGGGCATCATAGAGAGACCCCCATCTCTACAAAACATAATTAAAAAAAATTAACTGAGCATGGTGACATGGGCCTGTAGTCCCAGCTACTTAGAGGGCTGAGGCAGGAGGATTGCTTGACTTGAGCCCAGGAGCTTGGGGCTGCAGTGAGCTGTGTTGTGCTACTGGATTCCAGCGTGAGTGACAGAGCAAGACCTTGTCTCTAAAAAATATAATAATAAAATATATTCTCCTATTATAACTTTATTCTTTTTCACAATAGCTTTGGTTATTTTTTCTTTATCTTTTCATAAAAATTTTATAATCTGCTTGTTGATTTCTACAAAAAATTCTGCATTATTTTTAAGACAGGGTCTTGCTTTGTTGCCTAAGCTGGAGTGCAGTGGCATGATCCTGGCTCACAGCAGCTTTGACCTTCTGGGCTCAAGGAATCCCCCTGCCTCAGCCTCCCAAAGTGCTGGGATTACACGTGTGAGCCACCACATCCAGTCCCCCATGGGTTTTGATTATAATTATGCTGACTGTATAAATCACTTTGGAAGAATTGACATCTTCACAATATTGTCTTTATCAACATGGCATGTCTTTCCATTTATTTAGGTTTTTGATTTCCTTTATCATTGTTTCTTGGTTTTCAGCATATAGAACTTGTACGTCTCTTATAAGATCCATACCTATGTATTTTATAGGTTTTGGTGCTATTGTAAGTGGCATCTTAAAAAATTTAAATTTTCATTGTCAGTATACAGAAATACAATTAGTTTTTGAATATGGATCTTATTAATGTGACATTGCCAAACTCACTTTTTAGTTTCAGTAGCTTTGTAATAGACTCTTTGAAATTTATATGTAGAATTATCATGTAGCAATAGAGTCTGAATAATTTCTATTGACATATCCTCAGGTTAGTTGATTCTTTTCTTACCTGTGTTGAGTTTACTAATGAGTCTATCAAAATCATTCTTTATCTGTGTGAGTGTGGTTTTTACTTCCAGCATTTCCAATTGATTTTTTTTCTTGCAGTTTCATTCCTCTGCTGAAATTACCCGTGATGATTCATGATGTTCTCATTTCCAGTTGAGCCTGTAACATATTATTCATAGTTATTTTAAATTCCTATCAATTTTGTTTCTACCTTTTCAATGTGAACGTCTTTCTTCCCTTGCCTTATTGTACCAATACAGCGTTAGGAGGAATGAGAGCCAATATAATTCCTTGTTCTCGATCTTAGGGGAAAAGCATTATCTTTCACTGTTATGTATGACATTAGAGTTGTAGGTTTTTTGTAATATCCTATATCAGGTTGAGATTGTTCCCCTCTAGTCTTTGTTTCCTGAGAGTTTTTATCATGAATATGTGTTTATAAAATGCTTCTCCTGTATCTCTTCTGATGATCATTTGATTTTTATTTTTTAGTTTGATGGTATTATATTGAATATTGACATTACATTGAATATTGATTATTAAATTTTATTTTTTGTTCTTTCATTTGATGATATTACATTGAATAGTGATATTACAGTAAAATACATTGATTGATTTTTTTGAATGTCAGACTATCCTTGTATTCTTGAAATAAACCCCACTTGGCTGTAGTGTACTATCTTTTTTATATATAGTGGATTTGATTTGCTTGCACTTTGTTGAGGATGTTATCTATATTCATGAGGATTATTTGTCTGTAGTTTTCTTTTATAATATATATTTATTTTATAATGTTTTGGTGTGGTTTAGATGTCAAGGTTATACTGATCCCATAAAATGAGTTTGGAAGTGTGCCCTTTTTTTTTTTTTTTTTTTTTTTTTTTTTTTTTTTTTTTTTTTTTTTTTTTTTTTTTTTTTTTTTTTTTTTTTTTTTTTTTTT